TAAAGAACAAGTTACAGTTGATTATTTATGAGAGCTGATCTGTGATCATTAAAAGTCTATTACATGTCATCATAGGATTCTTGTTCTAAATCTGACATAATTTTTAAACATAAATTAGCAATTTATTGGGTAAAATCATTGTGAAGTTCTGTTTAACACTTACAGTATTATTTTGATGTTTGATAAGCATTTGAAACCCATGCACATCTAAACAATGTTTTTTATTTTTTGAACATTTTCCAGGAAATAATTTAACTTGGTTGTATTTTGTTTTTTTTATTATTTCAAAATGTCTTGCATAATTCAGTGTGTAGTAGATTTGTAACTGCATGTGATGTTTACTAGCAAGTGACAACGGTTTCTGCATGATTGTTTTCTGTGAATTTTGAGATGACGAGTTTTTAGACTCCTACACACCGGGATGCTTTTCGTTTGCGTTTTTCCGGATTTAAACCCAAGTTTCACTGGTGTCACTGGTGTCAAGCAGAAGAGTATGCAAAATCACTCCTTGATGTTAATGGCGCTACACAACTTTAAGCTTCCAAAACCCGCTTGTAACACAAAAGAAGAGGAAGAAAGGAAGTTCACATGCTTGTTGTTAAAGTTACTGGTGACTCGAACAAACATAGATGGTTCAAGTAGCAGATCCAGCTCTAGCAACGAAGAAATGATTATTGTTCACAGAGCAATAAGCAGCAACAAGTTCATTTCGCCTCTGGGCATCTTCTTCAATGTGCGCTCGCATTGACAGTTTTGCGCTTGAGCCCCTCCAAGTACTGTTTACTGTAATTTCAGCAGCTCCGTGCACGTGAACAAAAGTGCCAACCTGATTGCTGGAGAAGGTTTTAACGTGGTGCGTCAAACCAAAAAAACGGGCACGAGGAATTTTTGTTTAGAATGACGCATTTGCGCCTGGCGTTTTGCGCTTCGGTGTGCACGATTACATTGGCGGCCTTTATATAGTCACGAGGCGTTAAACGTCAATGGAAAACACAAGCAAAAAACATCTCGGTGTGCACGGGCCTTGACACTGATTATATAAAAAATTGCAGTTGATTCTGTTTTCATAGTTCAAAATTAATCAACATATGACTAGGCATAGGCCGATAACTAATTTTAAGGTATAGTGTGGTTTGGAAAGTCAAGTTTTTAAAAGATTTAAAAAAAAAATTCTACTATTCCGTTCCTAATGTTTGTGTAAGATTTTTTATTTACATATTTTTTTTTAGGATATACTATCTTTAGCAGAAAAGAAATCCAAAGATGCCATTTTGTATTGTGAAGAAGTATGTGTTTTTAAAACAAAGACAGCAGAAGTCAATGATTCATTTGAATTATTTAGTCTGACGTGTTTACTATTCCAAAATATTTGGACATTTTTCTCAAAATGAAATATATTGTGTTCAAAGTTTTGTTTTTTGTTTTTTACCCAGACATTTAAAATGTATATATTTTAGAGCAGTAATCACAATGTGATATTTTTATTTAAAGTTATCATACTGTCAGAATCTTATACTGGCCCTTGCCTCCACTGTAAAACCTAACAGTGAAAATCACTAAACGAAATAAGTTAGTTTAACGATTGAAAGATCGTTAGATTAACGAATGAAAAAGAGTTATGGTAACTCATAAACTAATTCTATTAAGCAGAAAGCAGTTATGAATTAATTAATTAATAACTAAAATGACTTGCATAACTTAATTTATAAACTAAAATAATTTTTGTATTAATTTAACTCTAATGCTACAAGCAATATCAAATAATTTGAGAAGCTATATAGTTGTTTGGACTTAATTTCCTTTGAATTCACTCTATTAACTGAACTTAAAATGTTTAATGATTTAAACACGAATAATATATGTGTACATGACTATTTGCTAAAGCGCAGATTTTCTTGTGCGCATTCAAATAAACTCTGCAATTTAGTGTTTAACGTTATGTAACGAGGATGTCTCCAATATTTATTAGATTTGCTAAGAATATTTATGAATGTCTTAAATAGACCTACAGAGTTAATGCGTCCTGAAGTAAAGTGAAATGGCCATAAACCTTTAGGGTTAAACAAATAACTCAGAGCACTACTACAATTACAGAAAAGTTCACGCTGTTATAATTCTCTTACCTTTTAATATGTTTTGGTGCTATTATAACCTGCTATTAAAAAACAACAACAACTCTAATGCTACAAGCAATATCAAATCATTTGAGTAGCTATAAAGTTGTTTGGACTTCATTGTTGGATGAATTTTGACTAATTGTTTTGAATGAGAAGCTGTAATGTAGCCGTGGTGGCATGAATTTTGGTGTTGCGCTCCGCCATGAAAGAATGAATGTAGCAGAAACCATGTATAAAGTTTACAGTACTCAAATCATTTGGTTTTATAACTTTAATGGTTTGCCCCAATCGGTTTCCTCAAACAGTTTAACTTACCAGGTTTTACAGTGTACATATAATATGAAATAACCTAATATATGACTGTTCACTTGAAAAAAAAAATACAAATCTCCCCAAACATCTTTTGTCCCAACAGCAGCAGCCGGTGCTGCGAAACCCTGCAAGAGTTTCCTCCTGTCACTGCTGCTCTGTGTGTTTGAGTTGAACTCGATGCTTTTCCTCTACGTGGCAAAAGAAGAAGAGAAAGACAGGCTCTCCTCAGTCTCTGTGAGGTGTCAGGTTGAATAGCTACCTGTTTGTTTGCTCACAGCTGTGCTTTGTTAGTCTCTCACACTTGAGAGGCGGCTTCATAAATTCACAGTGTGTCAAACAAATCAATAACTCCCATTAACCGAGGAAGATTCTCTGCTCTGTACTTGAGGGGCCACGGCCTACCCTCTTTGTTCAGATGCTTTTTTTTTTCTGTGAACGGATGGGGAGAAGAAGGACAGGTAAAAGAAAGAAAGAGAGAGAGAGCGAGAGAGTAATGGATAAAGTGAAATGGAGTTGGGCATGTTGCCGATTCACATAGACAGCTAACTGCTCTGAACGACTTGTCCCACTTGGTCTTTCTGAATGTTGTTGAAGTCTTCTCTTTTCAGGGAAGAGTCTAAGGAAACTAAGAGAGGTTTTATAGCTTCAGCTTACTAAATGAGAAGTTGCAGGTTATCTATTTTTTAACTCACATTTTTTGAAAAATTGGAAAATGCAATATAGTTCTGTGTCTTCACTCTACTTTAAGACGTTATTTTTAAATAGAGATTCATTTGAGTTCTTTGTCCCTGTGTCTCATATTTATAGAACACATTTTACGGTTCTCTGCAGTTGTACTACAACATGTAATTGTATTCTAGGAACATATACTGACAACTTTTGACTTTTTGTCTCTAGCTTAGTTTAGTAAGTGGGGAAAAAAGTTGATGACACCAAAGTGGAACATAGCAAGAAGACTGTATTCTCCTATGATTAATAAATATCCAAGAAAAGTTTACCTTCTGGGGTTCCAGAATAATGTGTAATGATAATATGCAATTATCACCTCTTATTTTTTCAGCAGTAACCTCAAGATGAGGTGCAACTCGAGTGTTAGAACAAGTGCTGATGGAAAGAATAGGGACCGAGAGAGAAAGAGAGAGAGGGAGAGAGAGAGAGAGCACATGACATATGTGTGTCGTGTAAGTGTTAAGTGCTCTTTTACTTGTGCAGTTAATTTAGACTGATCACAGGGAGACCTCCTCTGATTCATTGTTGTTTGCGAATTCAAACATGTTCATTACTGAGCATATTTCCAAGAGGGAAGAAAGAGAGTTGGTAAGAGCGAGATTGAGAAAAAGAGCTAATCGCTTCAGATTGATCTCCGCACAGAGCGTAAATGTATTTAAGCTCATAATCCTTGTAAATAGCTTCCAGCAAGGCAAAGGCAGCCTTTTAACATTGACTAAATGAAGTAAATAGAAGCAAATGAATTTTTAAAAGACGCATTGCAGTTGAACCCTGTTTGTTATGTATGGAACAGATCAGTGTGGAAACTGGAAGCTAATGAGGCCTGTAAATTTAAAGCTGAAATCATATTCTGAGGCTTTGCCACCCTGCTGTTTAGGGGTTTGCAGTGAAGTTCGTTTTTAAATGCAGAGCGTCTGTTCTCCCTCCGAAAGCCCCTCACACCCCAACAGATGGAGAGAATATGGAGCTCGGAAGGTTTACCTAGGAGGTGGTAACAGTGAAGCCACTCATTAACACTGAATTTAACACTTCGTTAGCAACGCGGCTTCCTGTTGAGAGCAGCTAGTGCTCAATGTCAAATCCTCAGAGCATACACTGTGGTCTAGCAGGACAACAGCAAGCCTGGGCCCCTTTAACACAGCCTTTAAACACAGTCCTGTTGTCCCACAGGTTTGCTGGTGTCGAGCTGTTGAAAACCATCAAATATAATTAGATTGGCTGATGACACCTGAGGTATATTTCTCTGGCTAGTCATGAACGGAAGCGTTTCTACCTGAATGTATGTGTGTGTCACTCAGTCACTCTGTGTATGTGTGTGCAGTGTGCCAATTTGTCAGGTTTGAAGCAACAACAGTCTCGTGCTGGGATGCGCTTTGGCACCATCAGAGAGTGATAAGACAGAATAATATGATCTTATTGGCGGTGTGCTTTGTTCCCATGGAAATTGGTCAATTTTAGCAGGCGGCTGAGAACTTTGGTGGGAGAAACAGGAAGGTTAGATCCCAGAGGTGCATTCACATAATTAAGCTTCCTCACCAGGACTTCCAGGGCTAACGTTGGGGTGTGTTGTGAAAAAAAGTGATGACAGAGGGTGTTTGAGCCTTGGATTGTTGCACAAAGAAAGTAAAAAAGACGTCCATCTTCTTTAGGCCACCATTATTACTGTTTAGAGCGTTTAACTCATTGATGCTCAATATGCAATTTGTACGTAAAGTGACTTGTATGGACCTTTAAAAAAATAAAAAATAAACATTTTAAAAATGATTTTCATTTGACCGTTGTAACTAGTCCTATGGAGGCACTGATTGATTTAAAACTGATTGCTTGTCTCTTTTTTTACAGACTGTGTTGTCTCTGTTATGGCGGCAGTAAAAGAGAGTGCAGAGGAAGACAAAGAGGTAGAATGTTCCTCTGATGACACTCAAGAGCTGACAAGCACATCTTCTCCCAACAACAACAATAACAGCTTGGATCCACCAGAGCCCCTGCCCTTGGACAGTCACCAAAACCCTTTAAATGGAGTCCAGCCGAACCCATTTGTCTGTGGTAGCGTCCCTGCTGCCCCTAGCACAAACGACTCATTGCCTTCAGGAGCACTTGTTAATGGAGCTGCTTCACACTGTACCTCAGAGGAGTCCAGCGTCCACAACAAAGACATGTCCCCTCTGCCCGGGACAGACACCAGCCCCGAGGTGTTACCGCCTCCCAGTGAGCTTCAATCAGACACCCGGCAGAAAGCAGAAGGGTGCGCCCTAAAAGTGCGGTCCGCACGGGCCTCATCTGAATCAAACTACAGTGACGGTGAGGCCCCCTTAGATGTGCTGGTGGGGGAAGGCTTGGATAACAGGCCAATCAGCCGACTGTTGTCTAGAAAGGGAATCAAAGCAGGGTGCTTATGGGACTTTGATTCTGAGTTGTCAGAGAGTTCTTCTGATGACTGTGATGGTCTGAACTGGGGCCTGCAGGAGAAGTTCATGCGGATACTGTTGAACAGCAGCGTAGCAGGTGATGGGGTAAGAACAAAGGTGGAGATTGATGGAACTCCACCTGCCAACCGAAGACGGAGAATGCGCAAAAATTGTGCCATGGAGAGGGCTGACAATGAAGTAGAGGTTTATGATGGCTTTGATTATGCATCCCAGATTTCCCTTACTGACAAAGAGTCTGATTCTGAGTCGTCCATTAACAAAGAACATGCCTTTAGGAAAGAGCCGGAAAGTTTGAAAGCATATGCCGGCTTGCGCCTGGAGAAATTCTGCGACAAGTCAGCTGCCATGAAGGAGCTAATTTCAAGCGAGAAGGAAGAGAGATGTGATGAAGGCGGCAGCGACGTAGAAACAAACACCTACATGGGTGAAAAATTGGCACGGTTAAAGACAGAGACAAAAACAGGCGAGGAGCTGTCCTTTTTCCCATGTTCAAAGTGCAATGAGACTTTCAAGGAGAAGAGGCATTTGCATAGGCATATGATGTATCATTTAGATAGGAATAATAAGGTGAGACAAGAACACGTTCCCCGACCCTTTATATGTAGAGAGTGTGGGCGTTCATTCCGAGACCTAACCTCTCTGCAAAAGCACATGATAATCCACCAGGTGCGGAGGGAAAGGCTGATGGAAGAGATTAAAGGTTTCAGTAAGATAGATGTCGAGGGAAGAAGAGCTTGCCTTCAGTGTCCCCAGTGCGTCTTTGGAACGAAATGCCCCAAAACTTTCATCCGTTGTGGCAAAACTAATGAGAAGGAGAAGCCTTACTGTTTTGAGGATTGTCATCACATGACTAAATCCGAAGTGGAGGCGCATGAGTGCACAGCTCACCACAACACATGTGCCAAGACTGAAGACTGTTTTGCATGTCAAAATTGCACATTTACGAGTAATAATAGATTTAGTTTCAGAAAGCACGTGGAGCTCATCCACAGACAGCCATATTATGATGATTATGAACCTCAACCACACAGCAATGTGGATGATCAACCCAAAACCAAGGACTTATCCTTGCCTATGCCAAAGATTCAAAGCACAGAGAAATGGTCAGTTAAGGACAGAGGTGAGCTGCCCTTTAGGCCCAATGGCTCAGCTGACCTTAATGTGAGAAGCGAAGAAACGCAAAAAGCCTGTGACGGTTTCAGCCTCTCGCTGATCAAATGGAGCCCTGGCAGCCCAGCAAACAAGCTGTCACCATTCTCACTGAGAAGTGACAAGCCAAGCAAATTATCCCCTCTGCCTACAGAGAAAATAGACGTGACAACAGGTCTCCCGTATGTCGAAGAAGACAATCAAGAATATGAAAGCACTGTCTCCGAAAAGAGGACAAAATATCTTTCCAGCTTTGACGCACATCTTACAGCGAAAACAGAGAACGTGAGTAAAGCAGCCTGTCTGAACCCTGGCACTGAGAGCTGTCCCAAAGATCCTTCAACCAGCAGTACTTTAGCTCTGCAAACGCTAAGGCACAAAATACCCTCCAAAAGAAAAATGTCAATCCCTTATCGCAACACCCATGCCGATATTCCTCATGTGAGTCTTCCAGAATGTGAGTCTGAATCTCCACAATGGGACTCCAGTACACCACAAGAGGGAGATGACTATGAAGGTGCTCAGGATTTCAGCAAATGCACCAAAGAGTCTCCGGATTGGTTTCAAAGCAATACCCCCAGTGATTATTTCATCCCTTTCAACAACAACATTCCTGACTATGCCAGTCATTCTAATCCAGAAGATAGCATAGAAGAGGACAGCGATGAGATTCGTACATTTATAATAAAAGAGGAGTGTATTGAAAGTACAATAAGTGAGGATAACCCTGATGAATCTGTTTATCAGCAAAGTGACCCTTACGGACAGTATGTTGTCAGTCCTTTTTCAGTGGTGGGCAGGAAGTGCTGTCCCTATTGCCCTGCGGTGTTTGAATCTGGGGTGGGTTTGTCAAATCATGTGAGAGGACACCTATACAGGGTGGGGCTGAGTTATGATGCTCGGCACGTGGTGTCACCCGAACAAGTGGCATCTCAGGACCGCCAGCCTCGCATACGCAGAAAAATACCCTCAGTGAATCGCAGAATCAGAAAAGGTGATTATTGCTCACCTTTCCTTGTCATTGTGATTTTAGATAATGCTCTCAAGCTAAAATCACACATGCATAACCTATATTTATGTATGTGTTCAAACATTTCTTCGTGTAACTTATTCATTTCAAGTAATTATGTGCTTTCATCATGGCAGATAAGCCAGAGTCTAAAACCGAGCACACCTGTCCGCTGTGCCTGGGCTGGTTTGACACTAAGACTGGCCTCTCCAATCATGTGCGGGGCCACCTGAAGCGGATTGGCAAGCCTATTTCGGGTGCTAGCAAGTCACCTCTCAGCATTCTGTCTGAACTTCTTCAGGATGAAACGGAGTACAAGAACATTATGAGGGTGTTTGGTTCCAGACCACAATTATCTAAACCTTTTGTCTCCCGAAAGTTTGCCAGCTGCGATGGCCTGTTTCTTACATCCTCCGGCATTCCCATGAAGATCCATCATGGCACTAGCAAACCGGATGAAGGGCACTGGACAATGATCAGACCCCCCCAGGTTGACAGGGAGAGGAAGAAGACCGATAAGGTCCAGTCTAGCACTTTAGAGGATCTGCTGGGAAATAGGGAAGTGGAGCAGGAAATGGAGGTCGAAGATCACTCAGAGGAAGCCAGCACTCCTTTGACCATCTACTCCACTTGTGACGGCATACCCAGAACACCATCTGTGAAGCTTGATCCTACCTGGAGCCAAGGTTAGGAACCATACATTCACTCATTGATTTGTCATTAGCCAGAAAATGAATGTAATGCTAGTTTGCTGTAAGAAGCCTAGTTTATATTGAAATACTCTAGTATTTAGAGTTTCTTTGACTAACCACTATTGTTTTCAGTAGCAAGGCTGGGTAAGCTTATCTTGAAGACATTAATAGTCTTCCTGAACATCTCAGCCATTATTGACAAATCTGTTAATGTGTAATTATGTATTCTTACCAAAAGATTTAGTTTGTGTAAGCACCTCTAAGAGGGCAACAGGTTATTAATTAGACCGCATTTTTAATTCTTTTTTCCACTAAATACTGTGTGTGTATGTATATATATATAATATTTTATTATATACATACATACATACATTTTTATTTCTTATCAATTTCTCAGTGAATAATATACAGGGTTCGTACGGGTGCTGGAAAATGCTTGATTTTTAATACATTGTTTTCAAGGATAGAAAGTGCTCTGATGTGCCGGAAATTTTATCTATGTCAGCTCAAAATATATTTTGGAGCATTTTTGCAAGTGCATTAAATTGTTGCTGTGCGTCCAGTTTTCACTGCAAAATGTTTACCACATGCGCATATTTAGGAGACAATCATGCAGAATGCATATTTGCACCTAAACACCAAACGAAGCACTTAGGAATAGTTTAAAACAGACATGTCAACTTACTACTACACAAACAAAATCTGACTGTAAGCTCATTTTTTAAGATATCAACTTTAGGTAGGACTTTAGTTGAAATGTCATATTGTGTGTTTTAAAAAAAGCACAATGGATTTTAATGTGAAAAAGTACATAGAGCATATATAAATGTAATTTACCATGGTTGTTAAGTGCTGGTTATAAAAATGCACCTTGAAAGTGCTTGAAAAGTGCTGGAATTTGAAGTTTGAAAGGTGTAAGAACCCTGCTGTGCATTTACATCAATATGTTAAACATTTATATCCAATAAAATAAGAGTTTGGTCGGCTAACATCTTTAGGAATAGAACAATAATACATTGCCATTCAAACAGGTTATTAAAAAAAAAACTACAGAATACAAACATACATATATATATATATATATATATATATATATATATATATATTCTTTTGTTTCTCTTAATTTTTTCTGTTTAATATATTGTTATTTTATGTATTTATATATTTTATTATTTTGGACTGTGATCTTAGTACTGTGTTACTGACTAATCTAATCCACATGAAGTAATAAAAGAGATATCTGTAAGCGGTGTACTTATTTATGCTCAGTACATACAGTTGAAGTCAGAATTAATAGCCCTGCTGAATTATTAGCACCCGTTTCTTTTCTTTTTTTTCTTTTTTTTTTACCAATTTCTGTTTAACAGAGAGAAGATTTTTTCAACACATTTTCGAAGCATAATAGTTGTAATATCTAAGTTCTAAAAACTGATTTCTTTTATATTGACCATAATGACAGTACACAGTATTTTACTAGATATTTTTCAATATACTAGTATTCCTCCCTGTGTTCGCATGGGTTTCCTCCGGGTGCTCCGGTTTCCTCTACAGTCCAAAGACATGCATTACAGCTAAATTGCTAAATTGGCTGTAGTGTATGTCAGTGTGTGCAAGTGTGTGTGGGTGTTTCCCAGTGTTGGGTTGTGGCTGGAAGGTCATCCGCTGTGTAAAACATGTGCTGCATAAGTTGGTGGTTTATTCCGCTGTGGCAACCCCTGATTAATAAAGGGACTAAGCTAAAAAGAAAATAAATGAATGAATGAATGAATACTAGTATTCAGCTTAAAGTGCAACTTAAAGGCTTAACTAGGTAATTAGGTTAATTAGGCAAGTTAGAGTAATTAGGCAAATCATTTTATAGTCTGTAGACTATCAAAAAATGCATATATAATCATCATTAAAGACATTTTAAAGAATCTTTTCCACTGAATGCCAGTTTAGAATGACTGAGCTAACAGTTCTCTGCCCTTTAGTAATTATGAATAATGATATTTTGATGGTGACAGGCTCCTCCTGACTCTGTTCTTTAGCAGGTAAATGGCTTTCAGATATATTTTTTTTGCAAGATACAGATTTTCACCTTTGTATAATTTTGTACCTTCATATTTTCTGACTTTCAAACTATTCACACTCCTACCTAGATTCTTAGATCTTGATCTGTTTCTCTTGTTATGCATACTGTTCAGTTACCCATAATCGGTGCAGGCCATTTAGCTGGGCTGCTTCTCTTCTCTGGAACTCTCTTGCACAGTTTGTGAAAGTCTCATTACTTTCAACCTGCAGTGCACAAGTTGCACTGTGTATTGCCTGGTCCATTTAACAAAAAGCAGAAATAGGTTATTACTTAAAGCTCATTTTGATACCCATACTGTTACCAATAATTAGTGTCTATTTAGCATGGTTGTTTTTTATTATTGAAATAGTAGAATCCTAATTGGCCATTCATTTTCATCATGCATTGTCAATGGACAAAGAAAGCTGGGAAGCACCATTGATACCGAGCAATTTTAGTGAAAACAAAACCCTCCATGACAAGAAGCTTTTGCCTGTTCGCTGACAGCTGAGCGTGTGATCTGTCTTGTTTCGAGTGATGTTGAATCAAAGAATCCGAGAGTGACAGACAGGTGAGGTTTCAGATATCTGGGTCACAACCAGCGTTGAACATTCTTTATTCCCGTAACATAGGGGTTTTATTGTTGTTAGTCTTTTGTTAATAGGTACAGTCGTTGAAGTGCAAATAATCAAGTAGTTTGTTAAGTGCCATTGCATTGATTCGAGATATTTACTGTAAGCATGGGTAAAGATGATCAATACAGTGTAGCATGACTGCACAGCTTTGTTTCACACCTGCTCTCATATGTTTTTCCACCTCGACTGCCTTCATTATTTACAGTGCACCTTAAAGCCCAATTTCAATCATACACTCCATATTAAATATGCATGACAGATGCCTCATACTTAAGACAAAGTTCTCTTCCTGCAACCTTGAAGTTGCCAGTTGATGCCATTAAAAGAGAGAGGGAACACAAGATTCAGACAGTGCCGAGTAAAAGTTTGCCACTCATTGAAATATTGTAGCAGGTACAAAAAGAATGAATGTCATCAAAAGTGGCTTTGAAATTCAAATGTAAAACGCATAGCTTTCTTTCATGTACTACTGGAAACACATCAGCTGTATTTGCACATCTTTGTTTCATGTCTACCCAAATAAAACTCTCATTTCATTAATTAAAAAACTAAATGAATAAAAGATTAATGGTGTTTCCGAATCACATTTTTATAACAGGTTGTCCTTTTTAATTGGATATACAGTGATCACCAAATTTGATTAGATTGTTCAGCCAGATTCATATAATCGGCTCTGTTGTTTTATCTTTTGCTGGAGCTCTTTGATTGAAGGTGGAGTACTGACAGCTTTTGCTGAAGGTTCAGTGAGGCTCAATTTGTGCTTTTCAGAACAGTTTAGATACATATATCTGTAATTGTGACTTAGTTTTTAACCAAAAAAAAAAAAAGACTAAATATAGATATTTGCATGCAGATAAAGAAATGTCAACTTCATTTGGAGTATTGTATTTTTATTAATATAATATAATATAATATAATATAATATAATATAATATAATATAATATAATATAATATAATATAATATAATATAATATATTTTCCAGTGATGGGTTGCGGCTGGAAGGGCATCCGCTTATCCAAAACAGTGCTGGATAAGTTGGCGGTTCATTCCGCTGTGGGAACCCGAATTAATAAAGGGACTAAGCCGACAAGAAAATGAATGAATAATATAATATAATATAATATAATATAATATAATATAATATAATATAATATAATATAATATAATATAATATAATATAATTTTATTATTATAACCCAAAGTAATCAAATGACTGACTTGACTCTAGACCATAAAACTAGTCATAAGATCATGTTCATGAAGATATTTTGTAAATGTTCTACTGTAAATATATCAAAAACTTAATTTGTGATTAGTAATATGTAAGTAAGAATAAGTAAGTACGAAGTATTTTTTTAACTTCAAAGGTCATTTATTTAGTATATTTATTGTTGCACCCTCAGATTCCAGATTTTCAAATAGTTGTGTCCCTTACAAGCTTATTTATTCAGCTCTTACAAACTTATTTATCAGTGATGTATGCTGTGAATCTTAATTTTGCTAAAAAATAACTCTGACTGGTTTGGTTGTCCACATATGTGTATACCTTTCATTTAATTTGTATTATAGCTATACTAAAGAATAAAACAAAATAATATCACCTACCCAGATATGTAACATATGCAGTGTGTAAAGTTACAAATTACAAAATACTGTGAGTAGTTTTTCTCAGAAATAGTTTTAAAAATGTGTTCTTTTACTTTTTTTTGAGTACATTTTTAATACAGTATTGGTGCTCTTACTCCACTACCTTCCTTTAACCTGCAGACACTACTTTTTTTTTTTTTTTTTGTCTATGTGGTTTAGAATCAGTCATATGATTTCTGTTCAATCAAATTGCACATAGAGGGTAAATCTCATCATAATGATCTCAAGACATGGGCGATTTATAATGGCAGCCAACTGTTTGGAAGCATTAAAAGTGTCAAGAAGATGTCCAAAATCTTTACATGCATTGACCCAGAGAATGTTTAGATGCATGTCAGTGATGAGAAGATGACCGAAATGGCCTTAAATACCCAGCAAGTATCACAACCCAATGTCAAGCCGATGTCATTGTCTAACGTCCAACCTAAAATCAGCCAAATATCAACGTAAAATGATGTTGCAGCTCGATGTTGGATAAACATTACCACTATGATGTCTATTAGATGTTGAATTTTGGTTGCTATACCTGATGAACAAATGTCAGTATTTGACGTCAATATGACCTTTGTTTAAGATATTGACTCGATGTTGGATTTTGGTCACTTTCTAACACAACCTAAAATAAACCAACGTCAATTGATGTCCATAAAAAAAATAAAATAAAATAAAAAAAACATTAACCTTAGATGCTGGCTAGACATTGAATTTTGGTCACCTGACATCACAACCTGAATCTAGCTGAATATTAATGTCTTAAGACGTTGTGTGCCTGCTGGGCAATAACTAAATGCCCTACAGAATGTTACGTTTGCACACATCCACAAATTACAAATAGGGCGCACTCACACTATCCTATCTGAACCGTACCAGGCGCGTTCCCCAATTTGTTATGTGTTCAGTGTGAGTGCTCTGAATCGGGTTCAGGCATGGTTCAGTTGGCTGGCCTGGCCCGGTTGGAAGAGGTGTGCCAGAGCGCAGTTCACTTGGGGTTTAGCGCGATGCGCTTTTAGTGTGAGTGCAAAGCGAGCCTGAGCCCGAAACTGAAGACGCAACGTCACTTTTAGGGGACTGCATCTTCAGGAAACCTTATAGTACCTGCAGCACAAAGACTTTTATGATAATTTTAGAGCGTCAAAACCAAATCTGTTGGGCAAAGTGTTTGACTGTGTGTCACTGCATCCCAAACTACTAAAAATTATACAAAACGCTATAACTAAAGCAACGTCCACTGTGCTGAGTGAGAGCACTTCTCTTCCTGTTAAACTGAACAGTCGCATCATCGATGATGTAAGCGTGCGGAGGTCTGGCAGGTAAAAATGCAATGTGAGTGCAGGTCGAGGGGGAGAAGGGAAGGGGGGCAATCGCGCTTTGGCATGGTTCAGGGCAACTGTACCTAATGTGAGTGGGCCCGTAAATGCATCAGCTTTTTACAGCGTAATACTCACTACTTTTAAGTACTTTTAAAAAGGGCTACTTTTTTCATACTTTGAGTAATATTTACAACAGATACTTTTACTCTACTTGCACCACATTTTTAGGCAAGTAATAGTACTTTAACTTAACTATGATTTTTCAGTACTCTTTCCACCTTTGAACATTTGAAGATGTCCATAGGATTTTAAGAACTGTGGCACCCATGGTTTAGGATGCTGAAAAACAGCAATTTTCTGACTTCTATAACTATTTAATAATAGTGTAGATGGAATGCAATAATAAACAGATTTTGGATTTTTAACAAATTCAATTTTTTAAAAAATTAATTAAATAATTTGGAAAATAACAGAACATGTTCAATATTGACATTCCGTAATATACTTACAGTAATGTTTTAGAATTCTGTTTATATGAAAAAACAATAATTCAAATAATAATATTAATGTAACCACCCATTACGTAATGCAAACCATTTTTGATTAAGACACATTTCTATAATGTATTATTTCCTCCGGAATATTCTATAGTAGATTCATAAAACAATATTAACCAGACACGTTTCATGTAAAAGTACAACAAGAGCAGATGAATAGTTTCAAACACTGTCCCTAAAAACAAACAAACAAACCGTTAACCTGATACTTACTGTGAACATACAAGTACAAGTCCTCAAAAACACAGCCGATCTTTATATAAAAACAGATGGAGTGGGAGGTGATGACACTCAGGGAATCACAGTTTTATTTTCTTCAAGCTGCTGTGTTCCTTTTCTAAATTACACACTCGCGTAGCTGTATAACCCTGGTTTTGCTATTAATAGATCGGTCATGAGTGGGGTGGACTACAGAAAAAAATCTGTTATTTAGCTATATCATAATCTCAAATCTTTTATTTTATTTTATGTGTAATCCAGAGAAGTTTGCAGCCAACAAGAATACATGCATCCACTGCAACATGACGTTCCACAGTGGCGTAAGCCTGTCCAATCATCTGCGAGCATATGCACGACGAAAGAAAATCGCCATAGAAGAAGGAACAAGTACGATATCTGCCCTTCCAATATGTTCGAAATCAAACAGAATCGTCAGCTTTCCATCGATGATAATTACATTGTTTGTTTTACAGCATATGACTGTAAACAGAAGAGGCCAAGATCAAGGCCTGGGCCAAAAAGGAAGGTGTTTTCATCTTCACACGCCGTCTCTGAAGTGATCTACAGAATGACCTGCAGGTACTTTGCAGCACTCCTTGTACACTCTCTCCCACCACTGCCAGGAGCTCTCATATCTGCCTTTCTTTCCCCCCAGGTTCTGCGATCTGATCTTCCAGGGTCCTCAGTCAATTCAGGAAGACTGGATCAAGCACTTGCAGAGGCATCTTATGCACACGAGTATCCCCGGCGTGGGTGCAGGTATGGTGGAGGTTTCAGCGCTGTGTAAAGAGCTGTGTTCTCCATCTCCCCCCGAGCGCCTGATCCTGGATACACACCCTCCTCTCAGTCTGCCTGAGGGGGTCTCCTAAGCCACGTTTACACACCAGCTATGCTTGCTGTACAACTGTTCTGCACATGTTCGTAAACAAATACACGTATACTACTGTATATACATATAGATATTCATACAGAATAGAAAAATATATGATCTTCTATTATATTGCATATTACTCCTTTTCATTTTGTTTTTTTCAATTTTATTGTATCAATCTTCGGTTATTCATAAGGGCATGCTATTTGCAACATAGATTAAGAGTATGGCTATATCTAGAGCTTGGATGTGCACATTAGACAGTCTCTCCTTGCGGACTGCGGTTCTCAGCTGCTGTGACTTGAGTCTAAAATCCAGCAATTGGATTTTTTGGAAACTACCCGAATAATTGAATTCAGAGGTCACTGTTTAGAACATGTCGACTGATTAGAACTAATCAGCTTCATGGACGCATAGCTATTTACTGTAACTTTGCACCACAATGTTTATTTACACTGATAAAAAATGCATATATCCTATTTTTAAGAGATTATATTAACATAATATATTTACATAAATAGTGCTTCATTTCTGTTTAAGTATTCTTATATATACTCTTACGCATCATTTAACACTTTGAGAGGGGGGGGGGTGTCATGTTGCGTGTACCCAAAACATGCAACACACAAGCTATTACAATATTTTTAATGCTATTATCAAAGAAATGAACTGTGAAGTTTATGAATATATCAATGAATATTTTTCAAAGCTTTCTAGTTGTTTAGTAATACCATGGGCAATACTGTCATGATGCAATATGAATTAGTTATAGATAATGTCAAAAAAGGTCATTGCTCCATAATATTGTTGTAAGTTGTTGAAATCCCTGCAAATGCTATTTTGCTCATCATTTTTACGGTGCTGGAAAATAGGTTCAAACTAAAACATAACAACACAACTAATTACCATGTCTCACTTTAGGATACTTAAGGGAATCTTTACCACTTATTCTTTCTGAGGTAATTGATTGTAAATAAAGCTGTAGGCAATGACCAAATGGAGCAAGACAGCTCTGTGTCCTGGTCAGCCCTTCAAATAGTTACCATGTAACTATGTACCATTACTTGGTGATGATAATGTGCAAGCACATACAGTACCGATCCGCTAAAGAATACATTGTGCTAATGAGCTGAGCAAGCATTAACACATTGTATTTACGTCTCTGTTTAGTCATTAATAGCCAATTAAAATGTAATTGTGATTTAAAGCTGTGCATCTTTCTGTATCTGCTGTAGTTGTCATGTTATTTTTACGCTAGCACTAATTTGTTGACAAAGGCTCTGTCTGTTATGTAAGTATCAGGGATGTTCATGATATCAGCTCGGCCCTTTGTGTAGAGCCAAAGCTCTGATGATATCAGAGAAAGCGGCTTGACCGGGGTCTGTTTTCAGGTTCATCAGTAAGCGTCTGGACCGGGGGGCGACCTCACAGTTTGTCCCGGGCAGGGCTTAGACTGGCGATCAAAGCTGTACAAACCAATTGTCATCACGTTCCTCCGGAGGGAATCTGGAGTACATTAATGCCCCTGCTTTGGGAAATAATTGTATCTCTCTGTGACTTCATTAGGCTCTCCTGGCCGAATCAAAAGACACTCCACCAAGGCTGGAAGCTGCACGGTGGGCAGACAGTGTCCCAAAGGGCCGAATGAATAAAAAACGAGGGATTATAATGAGATTGAGCTAACCATGACCAGGATTGAGTTTTTCCATTATACCATTGGCAGCTTTAAGAATAGGGTGGACGAGGGGGGAGGCAGGAACATAAAGAAATGTGTAAGATCCACACCAGCCATCTGCCACAGGGCCGAGCTGCTGACAGACCAGAGCACGCTTATCATTAGGCAGTGAATCAAAGAGGCCTGCTCTCTGGAGATTCCTCCATTAAAACAGTATACAAGTGTCATCCCTTCTCGGTGTGCAAGAGAGCAAATCTTATCTGAATCTGGAGGCGTAATGACTCGGCTTTGGAAAACAAGAAAGAGGCTTTCGATTAATCACCATATTTTATTTGTTCAATTGAACCTCCAGAATGTATAAGGAAGCGACTGCATGATATGTTGTTTCATATTAATAGCCTTACCTTAGGTGGTAATTAAAACTGCCCTCTGGCAGATAAGCACATTCTTAATATTTCATTGGCGTGGCTGTGACAAAGGCAGACCAGGGGCTGCAGGAAAAATAGAGTGGGTTTATCTCACATTACATTTATCCCCCGATCTATAGTCTCAGGTGCACCTGACACAGACATCAGGAGATCGTGTTGGTTGATTGATTGATTGATTGATGGACACTTTCCTTCTTACAATCTGCTTTTCTTGTATCCTAAGACTGCCACTTGTCTTGACTTTTCTTCCTCTTCGGAAGTGGCAGGAGCGACCCGGAGATCAAGACAAGTGACCAAGTCTTCATCATTGTCGACCGTGCCCTTGCTTTTGCTTTCGGTCATTCCTAAAGTGTAAGAGCCTACACTTCATCTGTGAAAAAAAGAGAGGAAAAGAGAGAGTGTGAGAACAAAAAAATCAATAGGTTTCCATTATCTGGTTGGGCAGTGTCACTGGCCTGTCAATGATCCCGCTACAGTCCCGGCACAAGGGTGAGACGAGCCCCCAGTCAATCGCCACTGACAAGAGGAAAACATGCTGACAGCAACCAGGAACAAGTCAGAACACAGATTTGCACTTCAAGCGCTCGTCCGAAGGGGCGGTGTGAGGGGCCACCAAACGGCGAGGGGCCAAGCTCGGGCTGAGAGGGGGAATGGTAGAAGGGGCTCTGGCCGGGTTTTCACCCCCTTGTCTGAATGTCTCACTCCCCATCACAAACGCTTTTATCCTCGCATCAATTATTTACCTCTGGATACACCAAAGGAAACCGAGGTGCACTGATTGTGGCCAAGAGAAATTCATCACCTTTGCGGACGCCACAAGATTGTTCTCTCTCATTCTCCCCCTTTTGCTACTCATCTCCAACCCCCTGTCCAGTAAAATAAATAATAAAATGCAGTATTGAATATGCATGTAGGTGCATTCGGTCACTTAACGCATATAACGTGTCTTTTGCTACACAGTATCTCATTATTTATGTAGGCCTATACCTTGGTGCTTGAAAACAGTTGGAGTACTTTGCCTCTCGAGCATCCGTAAAACAATGAAAGACAGGCCAAGTTCAATCCAGTTTCTCAGACTCGTTAGGGGGGTGTTAGTATCAACCCTCCATTTGAACCCGCTTAAACCAACCCTCTCCCGCTGACCGCTGAGTAAGAGAGACATCAACCACTCCACAAAACCAGAGAAATCAATACATTTTGACAAGGATGAAACCTGTTTGGGATGCACCATTTTGGTGCTCCAAAAATATGCTTTAGCCCTTGTCACATTCAATTAGATCTGTATGGCTTGTCTGAGGTTCACCACAGTCAGCTTTTCTGGAGCAGGAAATCCATTCCTCTGTCTCTGTGTTTATTACTGTATTTCTTGCATGATATGATTTCATATGCCATTTATTCTGAAACTAAAGGTGAAACTGCAACTGTATCGACCCTAATTATGTGGAACTAGGTCTTATAACAAAGGTTAATGAGAAATTAGCTCGCTCATTCGCTCTAAATTATTTCTAATGGACGGTTTTTACTAAAGGCTTCAAGCTCTCGGGGCATCATCTGACATGCGGTATAGAGCCTATTAATTAATGCGCTTTCCCGCCAATTGTTTTTCAATTAGTCCGCCTCCTTTTTTTCCCCGAGTTCCCTTTCCTTGTCTAGTGCACTAATTCGGTATAGTGGATGACTGCAGGGAATTCAGGTTAATATGTTGACAAGCCTCGAACAATAGCGAGTCATGTCGCTGTGCACGCTCGGCTGGTTCGGTTCATTTCAGCAGCTGACAGCAGGTCCTAATCATCAGCTGCCCTAAAGACACGTCATTACACACCATTATGACGACATAATTACAGTCGGCTATTTTAACAGGTTTCCAATTAATATGAGGGCTGAAATTTAATTCGTAGCATATTACTTAATTATAACCAAAAGGTCGTAATTTTGATTTAACACAGCTATTGTTTAATAGCACAATTATGGTTGCCTATATTAATAGCTGTGGTTGTAAGCCTTTATGTAATTTTATTAAAGCTTCTGTTAATGTGTTAATATGTCAGGGTGATTTAATTATAGCACACAAACAGCATATATTGGTTGCACTAGAGTTTCAAAATAAATAAAATAAAGATTAGTGTTATAGCTTCTTTTCTATACAGCATAATAGTCATCATCATCATAATAATAATCATAGTAATAATAACAAAGCTACATTATTACATAATAATTATGCTATATTAATAATAGTAATAATAACAATAGCGATAATAATTATAATAACAATAATAGTAATGTTTTGAAAAGGATGAATGGATTCATGTGCGTTGGAGCTGTAGGTGTGACTGGTCACTGAGCAGCTGGCTCTCATCCCTCCGGGCGCACCATGACCTGCTTTTCTTACCACACTAAATTGGAGACTTGACAAGCCACAAAATGAAAGTGATTTGAGTTGGATTCGGGAAGAAATGCAGAATATGAGCCAAAAGTGACGAGTCGGGCGGGTATCCCGGGCATGATGAGACATCACGCGTGAAACATACGGCGCTCTTTATTTTCCATGTAACTGATTTGAAATATTGTCTAACATGTCCTGTTATAAACAAATACATGCCTGCGTTCTTTCATTGGGTTATTTAAATTATAATATGCTTACCAAATGCGTGAAGCGCTGATCTAAGAGTAATGAATGTGTTAGGCTTAATTCAATTACAAAAAAATAAAATAAATAAATAAATACATTTGCTGAATCTCATTAAAGTTAGCTCGATATGCATTGGTTATAATGGGTAAAGTCATGAAGAAGAAAAAACACATTATGCTTTTCTCACACATTGGGGGGGAATAACAACCAAATCAAAATGCAAGATGTCTCTCTCTTCTGTAATAAAATGCGGCGCCAATTTGATCTTCCCAGCTCCGTTTGCGAGTGTTAATTGATCGTTTCAGACCAATGAAAATGTAGAGTGTTGGGCCAATGAAATAAGATCGCGTATGCTGAATTTGACTCGCAGCCTCTGTTTGCCATACTTTTTTTTATATTTTGAAATGTAAACTGAATGGCCATGCAGTTCAGATATTAGCCACTAGGAGTCACTGCACTGCAATCAAGATCCACTTATGTTTGGCTGCAGATGCTTTGTTGAACCAACATTGAAAGTTTGAGATGAGTCTGCCTTACTGACTTTTATCCTGTCTAGTCACACGTTTAAAATTAATAATGAAATATAAAATACGAGAAAATGTAATAATCACAATAATGATTATAATAAAACATACTTATACATTTGTTTTGACATAGGCTACATAGGCTTTATAGACTGATGAAATAAAAGATAGATAGATAGATAGATAGATAGATAGATAGATAGATAGATAGATAGATAGATAGATAGATAGAAAAAACGAGGATGGTATGAAAAGAAAGATGGGATGAAAAGAGAGTTATCAAAATATTTATTATCTGTTATTATATTTACAATCCACGTTGGGATAGTGCTGTATAATTTAAGAAAACCTCGACTCAGACAAAAAAAAAAAAAAAAACGAAATAATTTAGCATTTACTGCACTGGCGTGTCTGTTGTTTCTGTGCAAAAAACAAACAAACACAAACTTGCTCGCGCGCGTCATCCTACCGCGAGTTTATTCCTTTAGCATTTAAACGTGGAATATCTTCACCGTAAGCAATGCTTTCTTTTGCTTTTTGCTTTGTTGATATATATATATATATATTTATAATTTGCGACCCGACTGTATACTACTGTTGAGAAATGTGTCAGGCGACACGTGAATATATAGAGCAAATGACAGAAACAGAGGGGGAATAAGTGACAGTAGAAAGACACACGCAGCAGTACAAAGGCGCGCAGAGCTTTGAGAGCGCAGTTTGTTTTAGCGCACATCTCCCGGGCTGAAGAAAGAAACTAACACACCCTGTTTAAGAAACAAACATGCAGATTAGATAGGGGTTTGACAGACACTCTTTACTTGCGGATTCCAGGTCCCACCGCGGTTATGCCAACACAAATAGAGCAGCAAGAACCTGCTTCACTAAATGTAGTATTACCTTTCGGCGACATTTCCAAAATAACTACTAAATATGGTCACATTTCTATAGTTGGTAAACTGTTAAC